GCCTTCCTAGTAACTAAACTAAACAACGTCCTGGACATGTGTCCCTGATTCACTTCTTCTGCACCTTTTTCCGGCGCCCGACCTGCACGTCACGGGACACACCGCGCCCGACGCTGTCGGCGCATCCCGGCGGCCGCCGCCGTCTCGCGGTGCGCAGCTCGACCTGCCGCAGCCGAGACGGGCTCAACGGATCGAGACGGGGCTCAACGGGCTCACCGAGAAACTGCGTTGGAGGCCGAGGCGAGAGACAGGTGAGACAGGTGGGTACCTTCTTGCCAACAATCATGGTGCCCACACGGTGCCTCCGTCTGTGACTCCAAGTCTTGGAAGACATTGGAAGCCTCCGATGCATCGGTTTGATGTCTTGAAACATCAGTTTCTAAGGGCCATGTAACAGTAGCCGTGGGGTTCCCCTCAGACACTCATTTGGTACGCCATGGTACGCCTTTTCCTACCTAGGGGTGGTTTATGCGGGAGGCATCGATGCCAATCCCGCCTACTGAGGGCCATGCAGACTCAGACGCGCATGGTGGGGGTGCCCGGTGTCGTGTTCGAAGCCCTGAACAAGGACTCAACGGACCTGCATGCTTCTTGAACCACTGAACCTTGAACCTTCAAGTCATTTCCACACTTCCAGGAGAATTGTAGCTCCAGTCAAGACTCAAGTAGTTACAGCAGCTCCCAACTTCCCAATTTCTAGAGACTTTCCCTGGAAGATGGGCCGTGGCCGGGAGCAGTTTGAAGGATGGACTTCAAGCATTCACAATCCCAAGCCGAGCGGGGGTTGGAGCCTCACAGGCGTCCCCCTTTCCCCGACTCTGGCTGGGTGGGCCTTTTACCACATGCTATAGCAGATGGCGCTTTTTGGGGCATCCGCGAGCGTCCTTTGACCCCGGCAATCTCCACTGGAAACGACTCGACTTTAACATGATCCTTCTTTGCCACCCCCAGGTGACCATGAAGCACTACCAACCGTGCGTAGCCCCAGCCGAAATTTGTGTGTGTGCTTTCTTTGTTCATGTGTTTCTTTGTTCATATGATTGGGGCCACGATGAGTCTAAAGTCTAAAGCTTCCAATAGCATGTGAGAAATGACATATTTTTTGGCAAAGATTGGAAGATGCATGCGCATGTTCGAATTGTTGTGTAAGCGATGTTCTGGCGAGCTTCGTGGTTGTTACTCGTACCATCTCGTACCCTTGTGGAACTCTCAAATTTTATCCGAGGGCTGGGCGCTCAACTTCCCACCAGTCACCAGTTATATACATCATGGGAAAAGAATCCCCGCTGGACCTGAAGGTTCATCCCATCCCAAATAAGGAGTTGGCATTATTATAGCAGTTGCCTTAATAGTACGCTCGATTAGGCCTTCTTTTGCGAAGGACTGAGTTTGGTGTCCAATTCTTTGGAGGCCGCTTTCACCACCAGACCGCTTTCTGCACGAGACTGAATTGTCCAGTGTTTCATGTGATGTTTGCAAGTGGTGAACTGTCCTGCTTCGATGAGTCACATGAAAGACCCAAGAAAGAGTCGTTTCCATTCGAAGACCGACAGCTCCAACCGGGAGCCGCAGCTGCGGGGGAGCATTTCCCGAAAACCAACTGGGGGCGCTTTTTTGTTGTTGTCGTCCAACCGAGATAACCGAGGGCTAACCCCTATGATAACTAGGGTCATCCACTTCCCACATCCCAAGGTTGCACGCACCTGCTGGCAGGCAGTATGAGCCTCAGTGGCGGTAGGATGTGATAACAACTGCATTCACCTTCACCAGTGTGAAGACTGGACTATGACCATATTGCATTGCATGGCATGTTTTTTCATCAAAATCGCAAGAAGTGACGACATAGAGGGAGTTTCTCATAGGAGGTATTGGATACCACTCGCGTGCACTCACTATTATGGGTCACCCCTCAAGGAGCAGCCATTCCTGATCAAATATGCAGCACGCCCAAGTAAACTATGACAACTTTCTAGGGGCCCAGGACTTCCATTGCAGCAATCGGAATTTCTGCACGGAAGGAAGGAGGTCCAAGAAGCAGGACCATGTTGGGGACAGGGGCAGAACGAGTTGGAGCCCAGCGTCAACACGGGAGCAACAGAACGACAGCCAGTTTCAAGAATAGCCAGAATTCAAAGTGTGCTGCTCCAAACAAGATCCCTTTCGAAAGCAGGCGAGCTTGAAGAGACAAAAATCCATGGCCCAAACTAGATTGGGTTATGATATGCTATGATGTTATGATTTCAATGACATGTCTTAATCATGTACCAAGTGAGCACCCTTGTGGAGAGCATAGCTTCCTTGAAGGCTACTTTCTATGACCAGTTCGCATTTGTGAGGGCAGGCCACATGTTTACCTTATAAAACCGTTTTCCGAACACAAAGCCTTGTCAGACATGTGCCCAAAACCTTCCAGACCTGCACCGAGACTGTATCGCTCATGTTCGCTTCCTGGGGGGCCTGAGACCGAGGCTGTATCCGCAGGCCGTGCGGCCAAAGCAGGCCAGCGTGACTGAGGTTTCGGTGCAGAACATGTGTCTCGCGAATAGGGCAAAGCCGACTGCGAGATCCCCTGGCAACGAAATGGTGTGTTGTTTCTTTTGAGATGTTTGATGCAAAGTTTGACTTGTTCAGAGTCTTTTGACATGGTCGCCACCATGGTCGCAGCGTCGTATGCCGAAGACACGACAAAGATCGAAGGAGGATACCTGAGACATTCCTTCCGTGTTCTTCTTGCGTTCGCTGCTAGCTTAGCTTTGGTAGTTAATTGTGAGGACTTTTGCTGTGTTGCTTTTGTGGTGTATAGCAGCATAGCACTCACGAGTGTAATCAATGTTCCTTATGGCTTTGACATTGCATGGGGCGTGGAGTAGGTGGTTCTTCTTTTGACAATGCCCATGTTCCACAATAATGATTGAAGAGTAGTGCTTGGAGCCGGAACACGCACTTATAACTTATAAGAGTCTCATAAGTTACAATAAGTTATATACCAGGCCCGCCAACGACCATCATTATCCATTCCTTGGGGGTAGGATAGGTAGACCTTTAGCCTTTGGCTGTTGCTCGACAGAAATCGTTGACCTACTAATCCATATGTATTTGGAGACATATGATGACGCAGGCACACTCACCCTTTCTTTCCCTCGCCTACCAGCGAAGTTTCGACCAGCAATTGGATACCAACCGTGCTCAGTATGAGTCCGTGCTCGATGGGCCAGTCCAGTAGGGACGCCACAATGTGCCGCTGGTCTCTCAAGGTTTCTCAACAACATTGATGCTGGTAGTTGGATAAACCTTGGTGGGCCCATGAACGTCAGCATGTGTTCTCAAAATATATCAAAACCATTGTTGAAAGTTGAAAGTGAGTATCCCCCCTCTCCAGCCACCAGGAAGGTGATATTTCAGTCATGTTCATACATTGACTTGATCATGATCCAAGTAGACCCAACAAATGTCGTTTGCAAAAAGGCGACGTTCGGCTTGGTTTGGTTTTCAATTCCCACATCCCAGATTCCCGCGTGTTTTCCGTGCGGGACCTTGGATGTTGGTCAGGGTGTATGTGCTTCTATAGCTATTGGATCTATCTGAATCTATCCATCCATATCCATCCCCATCCACTCTTTGGTCTATCAGCTCCAGGACCCAGCACAGGCCCACGTCTACAAGTACAAGTTGCAGAAGTCGCGAGTCTATGACTCTGCCCCCCAACCGGAGGTGTGGCTGGTGTGTGCGTGTTTTGTGGGCAGCGTCCAGCAGATTTTTGATGAGATGAGTTACCCTGCTCACTACAGGTGATTTGCAGGACATGGCGTGCTTGAGATGGAAACTGCCAAGGAGGTGCCCGTTTTCCCCAACACAAACCAGGACTCTCAAAGCCGGAGCCATAAACCAAAGCCGGTGCCAAGTTATCCCGTCGGGGTCCCTTTCTTGGCCCACTTTGCCGATGTTCCAGGTAGTTCCAGGTCAGAAGTGTTTTTTCCCTTCTCTCCCTGCGTGGACCATGAACACTTGACACCTGCCAGGTCCAGGTACTTAAGGCCATGGTGCTGGAGCATCAACAAAAGCAGGCCAGAAACCAGCGCGATGGTTGGGTTCTGGATGCTTTGCATGAGCGGTATTGAGTCAGGAGTCATAGTCATAGTTGTAGCCAAAGCCGTCATCCTCAAGGAGACAAGGCACCGGTACTGGTAGTTGTTTCCTGTTCTTTCACCATTTCCCGCGGCCAGGCCTTGAAGCAGTATCGTCCAGCTTTGCAGGCAGGGAACCTGACTACTTTGCTTGCAAGGTTGTCACAAATTTGACTCTTTCTAACCAATTGGATTGCATTTTTGGAGTCGGTTCGTTGATCATATTGAATACAAGGGTGCTAAGGCATAGCTGCTAGGGTGCTAGGGCACCAAGCAGATGCGAATTGACGCGCATGTTTGCAGGCACTCCAGGCGGACCTTGTTTGAACTTGAGACAGACAAACTCAAGTCGTCCTGCTTCCTCTCAGCCAAAACCTTTGATCATGGGCAAAATGCATCACGTATCCCAAGAGCAGGCCTTGGACTGGAAGACACTTCTTGGGAATCCGACTTCTCACGAGACCATGAAGAGAAAGACATCAGCAAAGGTCTCAACACGTGGAATGCGGTCGAATCAGGGTGTGAATCCCTCACAGGACCGCAAAAAACCTACCCACCTACCTGAAGGCGGTTCCTGGCCAACCCATGGCAAGGTGACCACCTCCCTGTCCGGGGATGGTCATATGTGGTCAAAATACGTTTGACATGCTTGGAACTGCCCCAACTTGCAACAGAGACAGAGAAGACCCATCGGAGAACAGCTGACAGCTTTTTTGGGGGAAACTGACGGATGTGATATTCCCTGGAGCGGGTGCTTTTAGAGCAAATGCATGAGCAAATGCATGGTGTTTGTGAGCAAATCTAGTGGAGCATGGTGTCGTTCACAGCACCTGACACTGGTTTCCCTACAAGGATGTTGAACCAGCAACATTGTGCAACGAGTCTCTTGCAGACAAGCTCTTCCGTGCTGGTCCGCCACCGGGCCGGCCATGACGGAGCTACCGCAGCACTTGCAGCGCGTGCTGCTGGTGCGCCATGGACACCGCTACTCCACGGGCTTCGATCCACAACTCACCCGGAGAACCGCGGTGACGGATGGATCCCTGACGGCGGGGTCACACCCGGCGGGTTCGGGGTTCTTGTTGGAGAGACCTTAGCCTTAGCCTATCGTCAGAGATTCAAAACACCAAACACACCGCTTGGTGCAGGGAGAAACGTGGTGCTCGAGATTGGGAAGTTCAGATTCTGCAGTTTGCTGCTCGTGTCCACCGTCGATACGAGCAGTTTTCGGTGAGCTATAGGTGACTAGTGTTTTTGCCGAGTTCGGCGGCCAGGGCTTCGATGATCTTCGAGGGCACCCTGCTGTCACAAACTCCTCTCTCTCTCTCTCTCTTTGTTGGAGGAAGTTTGATAGTTCCCCCCTAAACAATTTAGGCATCAGCTTGGGCACCGTCTCATCACAGCCTCTCGAGAGAGGAGGGGCTTCTTCCAAGCCGAGGGCCTCGCGGAGATGTTTCGGCCGCTTTTCGATGTTTCGTTTGGGCATGAAGTCCTGGTTTTACGAGCAGGAGAGAGCAGGAGTGGAGATATAATGAGTGGAGATATAAGGAGTTCAAGTCTAAAAAGCTCCAGATGTTAGCATGTAGGAGTGGGAAATCAAAAGTGCAAGAATAGGGAGTAATATAGGGAGTAGGAGTTCTTCCATGAGATTCTGTCAAAGTTCTTCAAGAGTAGGAACTTACAGATGAACTGTTTTTTTTTCCCCATGACTAAGTGGCTGCTTTGAGGGTTCCCACAAACGGTCAGCCTGAACTGTGCTCACAGGACGGAGCTAAGGAGCCAAGGGCATCCAGTCCTTCCCCATATTCCCCAAAGAGCTACAGGCAGTTCGCCCAACCCCTTGCTATGATGATACAAGGGTTTTCCTGGACTTGACTTGAGTCAGTTAAGTTCGGTTTCGGCCAACGACTCATTTCTTTGGCATGCCCTAAGGGGCAGTGGCATCGAGATTGATGCCATCTTCTCCTCCCCCTTCATCCGCTGCTTGCAGACGGTCACCCCCTTGGCCAAAGCCTTGGGCCGCTCGGCAAAGCTGCATGGACCACAGGGTGTTTCTTGAGTCCATTTTGGCATATTGTGGCGCCCCCAGGGCTGTAATGCATTGATAAATTTAAATTGAGAACGCCCTGGCAGTTGCCCTGGCATGGAGTACCGGAGAAATCTCCATGCATTGTTGAGGTGGATGTGTTGATTGGGGCAGGTCTGAAACCTGTATGTGAACAGGTAATGGAGTTTCACCTTGCTCAAACTGTCGCCTACAATGACAACCACCCAACACCTGCAGCCTGATGATTAGCCAAAAATGGTTCAACAACCATTGTAGAAACACATTGCGAGCACCCATCAACTTATGTATTTTTAATCAACCGTCAACCGTGCTTAAAAGCAGCTTTGTTGTGTGGGATACTTCAGTGAAAGGTCAACAAAAGAACACAGATCCCAGGGAATTGGAATCCCGGCTTTCCTTCCACAAAGGCAACACTTAATCCGATCTACAATGTACATGGGGCTGGGGGGTGCAGTCTTTTGTGGATGTCAAATGTGCCAAGTCTTTACGCCAAGACCAGCCAAGTCTTTACCAAGACCTCCCCGGCCCTCCCCGACCAGGTTTAAGCCGCACGCGAAGACACGCGTCGCGTGTGGATCGCTTCACCGGTGAGGCTTGAAGATCCGTGTGGATCGCGGCTTCTCAGACGCTTGGTCCTACTCGTTCGGTAGCTGCCAGAGGGGTCGTTCCAGGTGTGATGTCATCACAAGGGTCTGACTCAAGTCACACATGGAGGTGCATGATATCCCAAATGCGGATGAGGAAGCACAGTTCGATCTAATCTATGGTGTTCTTCCAAGAGACAATAGTATAACATATAGTTAATTATACTGCAAATATCTGCAAATTAATCATGGACCTTATGGTAAGCCGGGTCCCCATTCACCACAGCGCTGCCGCTGTGGCGGGGTGCTGGAAAACCAGCACTCCACGCTGCATAGATGAGAATGACATTTCTTTTGGTCCCGTGCATGCCAGCTGCCGGAAAGAACCAGAGGAAGGAATGTTGACTGTTGATTGTGCGTTTTAGAAAAACATTGCAAGTATGTTTTAACACTGGTTTTATTAATCAACTGTCCACATCAGTGGTGTGAGTTTTGTTGTTCAGTTGGTATAGCATCCGAGCAGTCCTGGCGTAGCCGCATAGCATTGACTAATACTGAAGACTGATCCCAAAAGCGTAAACAATCACCTCGTTTCGGATCTTGATTTAAATGATAATCTAGAATCTAGAAGGAGCTTTGTACATGTTTGGTGCGCCAGGGCAACGGATCAATCGAAGGAGACCACAGGGAAGCCCTTGGATTCCCCATGAGCCCTTGTGTTTGGTCATTTTTGGCGGGGGGTACGGAAACATACGGAAACAAGATGAAACAAATGACAAATTTTCCAAACCAATTGAGGGTTGATTGATCCCTCAAATCAGGTGTCTAATGCGCAACCTGGCGTGGGGCAAACACAAGTGGCAGTTGCTGTTGGTGCGAATCAGGAACTTCTGGCGCATGACTGGATTTTTTCGTCGAACCCTTTGCCACATTTACACTACGAGCAGATGAGGAGCGCAGACATGTATTTTGCATTGCTTGTCGGCTTTGAATCTGGGATGTGCTGGTGTCGTGATCGGGCCTCGACAGAGGGCCTCGATAGGAGCATCATCGACCACACGGGGCTAGTAGTTGAATGTAAGCCTGCATACACTTGTGCTAATTAGATTGGTGGATGTTGCTTGCCATCCTTGCTGCGAGAGTTTCCCTGAAGATCCCATGGTCAAACCATGTCAAACCCTTGAAGATATTTTTAAAGTGGTTGAACACCTTCCCTGCATTTTAGCCCTAGATCACCGGCGAGATGAAGAATTGGGATGTTGGCTGCTTTACGGACCAAAGCCTTTGTCCCATGTGACCGTTTTTTTTCCCATCCCCCATTTGAATCCAGGGGGAGGGGCAGGATTTACTTGTGTTTTTGGAATCACTACGGTTTAGTTTTCCGGGCTGTACTTGTTGTTTGCCTTTATCAACATGCCCTTCAAGCCTTTGGGCTCAGGCGAGTGCGTTGTATGATATGGGCTGCTTATTGTATGTTTGAATTTGCCTTGCCTTACGTGGCGCACCCCGGCTCCAGCGTAGAAGAGAAGCGCGCGGGTCCAACCAAAGTCGGGAGTTGCTTTTGCCGCTTGGCATGTAACGTCGAGACATATTGAATGCATTGTGTTTGGCAGGCTCGGGTGTCCATGTATGACAACTCATTAGACATCATTAGAATAATAAGCAAGAGTTTGTTGTGACACAGCTAAAAATCTTTTTTGTGTTCTTCCCGTGGTTCATCATGGAGTACGACATAGGACGCCGGAAGAGCTTATTCAAGAGAAGCTGATATCTCGGATTTTGGTTTGAGTATATAAAAGCATTGAAATTACATGTTAATCAATTCTGGCCGTTCTGGTAGGTGCTTAGAAATCTAACTTTGATTAGTGAGTTTTCCTTGCACTGAGGCCGCAGCAGGATGTTCCGCTGGCATCGTTCCCTTGTCCTCCTTTGGCTTGCTGGCAGTTTCCAATCAGCCATGGGTCAAGATGAGGAGGATTTTCCCGACGACCAGGACCAGAAAAATGCCGACTTTGGATGTTTCTGGTGTGGATAATTTGCGTTGTGTAATATAGTCATGAGTCATATTATGACATTTTTTTGTGTGCATTTATTTTGTCTAGTCATGTAACAATAAGATACGTTTGAACTCCCCGAGGATATACACATGAATGATACATGCATATTATATATACACATCTAAATCGACTATATAAATGGACTTCTTTCAGAAATGTCCTGGCTTCGACCTCCAGAAATCCCCGGTCTCGCCCTGTGAAACACGTGCCCGACCCTCCCAGGACATCGCCGAGGAGGCCATGAGCTGCTTGGAGACGGGTTTCTTCGGACCTGGACTTGAGCACAGGACCTGTGGCATTGCTTTGTATATGTTAACACAGGACCAGAGCCATGTTGTTTTCCACACCATTTTTCAACATAGACGACTGGCGCCCGAAAACAAACAAATGCACCAAGCCGAGCCGAGCCGCTTTTCCCTTCGAGGAAGACCGACCGCTTGGACCGACCGGTCGGTGCCTCGTCTGACCGCGTCCGAGGTGCCGAGCAGCTGAGAGCGTTGCACAAGAAGTTCGACCAGAACGGAGATGGCAAGGTCTCCCTCACTGAGGTGAGCTGGGTTAATTCTGGACTGAGGAAGGTTCACGCCAATAAAAACCCTAAGGATCCAGTCGCACCTTCTCAGGTATGGTGATTGATTGGAGGCACTGTTATGTAGGTTTGGAGTTCCAAGTGCCTTCTGAGAAGGTACTTGACTGAAGGATGGACTTTTGAGAGATGGATTGTTTGCTCGAGTCTCTCATGGTCCCTCCCATTGCGCTTCGATCTTTGCCCCACGCTGGAGATGCTACTCCTTTGCTCGAACTCCTCGGTCAGGTGCTGGAATTCGCACGGCACATGAGCAAAGCCATCGCAGGAAAGGATGTGGCCTCCATCCTGGAGGCGAGCTGGGAGATTGCTGTATGATAGGTGGATGGATGATTCCTTTCAACAGAGAAAGCAGATTTGTTGGGGTTCAGTCTTTTCAACTTCTATGGCGGGTCGCAAAGGGGTTTGGCCAACAGCATCCAAAAGCATCCAGACATACCTAGCCATATCTAGACATTTGGCACTTGATCAGCACCAGGAGATCGACACCAACAAGGATGGGAAGCTCTCCTTACAGGAGCATCTCAACGACTTGCATCAGCAGGCCTGGCTCCCAACCGCTGCTAGATGTCAGATCGAAGTCCAAGAGTTCCTGGCTGATTCAAGCCCCAAAAAGAGCGGGCTGCTATGATTCAGTCCGTGAAGCCCTGCAGATTAGATGCATATAAATCCCTAAACATCAAAATTATTACATGATAGAACCATAGACATGCTGCAGTATCACAATCTCGCCTTCATCGCCAGGCCGATGGTGGGGATGAAGAAGAGCTGAAAGAGCTGGAAAACAGATGCTCGGCCGATTGGGATTTCAAGGTGTTCGATCAGTTTGCACATGTTTGCACCTAAGTGTTGTTCAAAAATAAAAATAATAGACACCTCGTCCCGTTGGTTAGGGGATTTGGACATGTTCCCTATCCGGAGTCATCATCAGCCGTCCCCTGAAGACCATGGCCGCTAAGTTGACAGTTCTTGGACGTCCAGTGAAGTTTGAAGCCGGGGACCGGACACTTCCGGAGATTTTTCTACATCTCTGAAAAGTGAGGAAAAGAAGTCGAGACAGCGAAGTTCAAAGCAGCCGATGCAGACAAGGACCGTACCCAAACATAAGCCACTTTTGAGCGGCCGCTCTTTGGAGCGGGTGCGGCCGCAATTTTGTGGACTCTTCATTTGGCTTACAGTCACTAGTTTGAACACCTTCCCGTTGACACCTCCATGACCATGTCCTCCCCCTTTCGGGCTGAGACAGCCGCGCGAGGACAATGTCTTGAGCCCCAAGGAAGTCGCTTCCCTCTTCTATCCGGAAACAAACCCAGCAGTTTTGGACGTGGTACCTCGAACTGGAAATGCTGGCGCATGCTGGGGTCTTGGATGTGTACAGGTCTCAGCTGAAGGTCATGAACATAGACATGTGACATATATGTTATGTTAAGTATCAATTTGTAGAGCAGTGTTAGAGCACGGTGGTCTCGAACGAGAAGGTGCATGTTCCATGCCAATGTTATGTAGTCGTTCTTTCTCCTGGCCATCAAATAGTGTAAATATGTGTAAACAATGCTTGTTTGATGGAGGCGCTGAAGGTCCCCATCGACCGACCTTAATCTAGGAGGAAGACTCAATTCAGCACCTGAAGGTTTGCTACTGGGCGTGTTGATCCGTTTGGTTCCTTTTTTGTACTCTTGATGCAGCTCAAGCCATTGGCAACCAATTGATTCTTGCACATCGCTGACAAAAACAACAGTTTGCAACATACTTGTACATCATCGTAGATTCACTCGAAGCCATCAACAACCCCCATGTAGGGCCATTGCATGGTATTGTGCTTGCCCGCGTGTGATGCTGTACCAGCAGACTCAGTTGAAAGCAAGCATGAAAAATGGACACCACCCTCTAACAGTCAGTGAAGTGACTCCCGCCCAAAAAATTGCTTTGATGTGACATATGGCTGCCTTTCCTCATGACGCTTAGAATACATGTGGACACCATGCATGCACCGTTTGCGCAAAATCGCCTTTGGGGCGGCTGCAAATCCTTGAAAGACATTTGCCAATCCTGGCAAGAACCCCAAAAGAGGACTGAAGGAGTGGATCGGTGAGGTATGATACTGTTGCAGAAATAAACACGCAGATCCAGCATTCTCAGTGCCTACTGGAAGAATTCCCTTTGCAGTTCCAGTGCGTTGCCGCCTAGCATCGCCTAGCGTATTTGTTGACCCCACTTAAGCCACTTCACCATCTTCATATACCCGTGTCACGATGAACCTTGGTCTGACCTTGGTACTCGGGGCACATACACTAAAGAACACCAACCACTCGCCACCCAGTTTAACTCAAACAAACGGTCAACACCGACCGCATAGTACGTATATTTTTGCTGCAGCCATGGCCTCTCTTCTGGATCTTGGCCTTTTCTTGCTGCAAATCCATGGCTTCTTGTGCAACAGCGGCTGGAGCATGGAGAGCGACGAGGACGTGGGGATCCACAAGGGCCTCTTACAAGCAGCCGAGAAGGGCGATGTCACCGCGCAATCCCTTCTTGCCCAGGACTTCTTTTATGGCGTCCATGGCGTTTCTCTCACCCACCAGCAGACTGTTTTTCTGACGCATGATTTAGTGATACCGCACATCGATTTGGTGTGCTTGTTCGTACTTGTTGTGGTGCGAGAATCCAATAACAAACATTCAATTAGACTAATCCAACTAAACCAATCAATTTCACATCCACATACAACCAGTTCATATATGTTTTTCTCCTCCACTTCCATGTCCCATCACTTAGGTGAAGAAGGACCTCCACACCGGACTGCGGTGGGCCACGTTGGCGGCGGATGCAGGTGATCGAGATGCTCAGGAGCTGCTGGCCACGGCCTTTGGTCGTGGACATGAGGACCTCCAGATCGATGCCACTCGTGCGGTGGACTACGGTACCAAGGCGGCGCAGCAAGGCAGTGTGAAGTCCGCGGAGCTTCTGGGGAAGTGGCTCGGTGGGGTGCGTTGGATCAACACTGAAAAGCTGCGTGTGTGTGTGTGTGTGTGTGTGTGTGTGTGTGTTTTTATTGTTAAGGTTGGTTGGTTGGATCGGTGGGGTTCTGCATGAAACTCTGTTTGAATCAATCGTGAATCAAGCTTGGAACTGTTTCTGGGAATTCTTGGGTCAACCAAAAATGTCAACCAAGGTTGTACTACAACGGTACAGGCCTAGCTGATGTGTCAAAGGAGGAGCGAATGAGCAATGCCTTCAAATGGTTCCGCTCCGCTGCCAAAGCTGGCTCATTGAGTGCCATGAACGATTTGGGTGATACTCGGATCCAGC